TTTCTTCAAATAAGTAAAACATTAATTACACACGCACAAATTTTGCCTGCAATTTCGATCACAATTGAACACTGCACTTCATTCTCGTTTCGAATTTTTGAAAGCGTTTTTTAAGCTATTTAGTGGTTTAACACTTCTTGTGGGCACTTGATATTGTAAAAAAAATATGCGCAATTCGATCCCTAACTACATTTTTTTGTAAAGAACGCCCGTTTGCTTTAAATTTGTAAAAATACAATTATTTTTTTATTTTGTTTACATCTGTCATTTGTTACAAATGAAGAAAAGTCCAAGAGTTGCCAAGTAGAGTTTCCAAGTATAAATATCTTTATATCTATTTATTAAAATAATAATTTATTTACTTAATACTTTATTAAAATACAAATTTGAAGTGCAAATACATTTGTAAAATACATTTGTAAAACTGTTTATCACAAAATGTTATTAATTGTTTGCAAGCATACTATAGTTTTCATGCATTTTGAGAATAAATAATCTAATATGTGTACATATATATCGTCGTTTAAAGTACAAAACCGCGTATCGTCATTCTGCAAAACCGTGTGACTGACATTGGCTGCCAAAAATTGGATTTGCTCACAAAAGCTCTTGGCTCAATTCTTATCCATTCGTCCTGAAATATACTAGCCAGAAATACGTTTGCTTTATAAAAAAGATAACCATTTTGAAATATGGGTGACTTTACTCTCTAGAAAATAATTTATGCAATTACGCGGTTTTGCATTTTCTTGATACGCGGTTTTGTACTTTGAAACGACGATATGTATAGCATGTACTTACGGCGGCCGCCGTAGCAGAGTGATTACATGTGCGTACTTCCACTCCATAGGACCATGGTTAAATACCTGGTCAGATCATAACCCAAAATAGCAGTCGTCCTTCGGCACGCAATGGCAAACCTTCGAGTATATTTCTGCCTTGAAAACTCTTCTTATAAAATCAGAACTCATGCCTCAAGTTTGAGCAGAAGTTCGGCCAAACACTTAGAAAAATATTTTAGCACCAAATATTTATTAGTTTACTTATTTTAAGGGAGATGGCAATCTTCTGGTTTCACATTTTGAGTACAAAAATTTCAACTCTGATACAACAAATAGTATTAGTACTGAATGATAATGACAGATTGCATTCCCATAAACGTCCAATCATACATGATTGAGTTTTTTTTTTGCATTCGCTTTCTCTATGTGAATGGGTGTCAACCATTCCATAACACACTACATATTTTGTGTTTACAATTTGTAACCAATCTCAAGTGGTTGTTAAATTTTTTAAATCAAACAATCACATTTTTGAAACGAAAAAAATGAGAATGCACACTCAATTGATTCAATCATTACACAGCTCTGCTGAATATACACAAAAAATTTCGTAAAGATCGGTCGATCCGTTTAGGAGGAATTCGATCACAAACACCGTGACACAAGATTTTTATATATTAGATATTATTTGTTATTTTATATTCTTCTTATTATCACGGGCGATTAATCACTTTAATGTAATTCAATTGAATCTCTTTTTTGATTCGAGTTATCATTCTTACAAACAAACTTTTAAATGTCCAAACTGATGTAATTTTTATTTGATAAGCTCGAGGCCCAGAGAAAACACAAAACACAGGTTTTAGTTCAATAATTTTTAATGTCGACATTTCGACCTCAATCTGAGGTCATCTTCAGGAACTCTTCGTTGTGCCCGGTCGACTAATTAGGAGTACAGAAATATAATTTAAATTATCATCACTAGCAAGGTGCAATTTTAAATGAGCGAGAAGAACGGGGGGTAGTAAATCAAATTAACGATGATCAGTTGAAAACTGCTTCTGAAGTAAAAAATTCTATTGGAAAAGTGGTCAGCACAGAAACATTTCGAATAATATTAGGAAAACATGATTACAATGGCCGTGTTGTTCGAAAAAAAGCACATAGACAAGCCCCAAAAATTAAACTTTGCGTGTAAAATTTACTAAGGAATATTTATTGAAAACTAATGATTTTTGGAAAACTGTTAGTTGGTTTAATTAGCATGAGGTCAGAATAAATGCACTTAATATTCTCGTTCTCTAAAGCTGTTATTTACCTATGAGAGCAAACTCACTTTGTATTGATCGGATGAAAGGACGTACAACACCAGTAGGGAATTTGCAATTCGTTTAAGGTGCTTTGGACAGATTCCAATACATTAACATACTAAAGAAAAATGTTAAGCAGACTACAGACAAATTGGGTATTATAGACAGATTCGCTTTCTAACAAGATATTGACCCAAAACACACTTCGCATGTGGCAAAGCTTTGGTTGATGCACAATAGCCCCAGACTATTGCAGACCCCTCCACAATCTACCGACTTAAATGTTATCGAGCACGTTTGGGAAGGACTGTCCAGAAAGCTGTAAAGAAATTCGTACAACAATATTACTCAACATAAAGAGACACTACGGGGGGAATGGAACAAAATTCATCCTTAATTTTGCCAAAACTTTGTAAAATCGATTACCAATAGATTCCAAGCAGTTATCCAATCAAAAGGCTATGCAACTAAGTGCAAGAATATGAAGGAATGTGGCTGAATTTTAGTTTTATTCTCGTATCTGAAAACCCTTGTTTGATTCAATAACTTGGGCTGACTTCCAAAACGCACCAATACAATGTTTGGATACTGTTCTGATGCGGTATTTAAACTGTTTGTATATGCAAAGTTGCGAAACATTGTAACCATATGCATTGCATATTGTGAATATTTGATATAACATTTATCACCTTTCGGAATTTTCAATTTTTAAAACACCAATGGTCACCAGCAATTTAGAAAAAAACGTTTTTTCTTAACAGCGGTGGCCCCTCGGCAGGCAATGGCAAACCTCCCAGTGTATTTCTGCCATGAAAAACTGCTTCTCATAAAAGTGCAATCGCCGTTGGGAGTCGGTGTAAAACTGTAGGTCCCTCCCCTTTGTGTGACAACATCAAGGCGCACGCCACAAATCGGAGGAGAAGCAAAACACTAACATATGTTTAAGCACCAATCTATTATTATTATTATTATTAATGGTCACCAAAAACAAACGAAGCATCAACTTTGTTTCTCATGCGCTGATTACTCTAGCAATGCGTATCGATAACTTTTCGGATGCGTTTTGGAAAAGTATACATTATCAACATTTTGTAGTTTGGCGTTACGGAATATTATACTATGTACGGATGCAAAGCAATTGACGTTTTGGAAGTCAGCCTTACTTTGTTTGCTAAACTCATCAAATTTGCTGATTTGTAATTTTGAATTGTCAAACTACAACTAGTTAAAAATATACGGCTCATTAGAAAAACATTAGTACATCATTCTGCTACGTTTTTCCAGGATTTATTCAACAAAAAGTCCAATTTCGCGTGTGAGCCACTCAAAATGGTGACAATGTATACTTTTCCAAAACGTATCCGAAAAGTTATCGAAACGCATCGCTAGAGCAATCAGCGCATCAGAAACAAAGTTGATGCTTCGTTTTTTTATTGGTTACCATTGGTGTTTTAAAAATGGAAAATTCAGAAAAATTTTTCATTGCTATATTTAATATTTAAAATATGCAATATGTCGCAACTCTGCATATACAAACAGTTTGAATACCGCAGTATAACAGTTTCTAAACATTTATTGATACGTTTTGGAAGTCAGTCATTTATTTATTTTAGCGTTGGGAGTATCGATACTTTTGAGAATCGAGTAACATTTCAATGCTTACAGGTCTATTCTGCGCGTTACCGAAGATTTTGTAACCGGGAAATTTTATTACCAAAAAATGTTACCAGTTCTTGTCACCGCGATTCTCGGAACGTTGGTAATGCAGTTAAAATATTCAGCGATTCAGCTATGAAGAATTGTGCAAATTCTGACATTACATATTTCACGGGGCAATACTTTGTTACCAGCTTATGAGATGGTAACAAAATTTACCGGTTACAAGAGTACACAGAATGCGAAAAGGGTTTAAAAATTGACAGGAATTTTATTTACCCGTTACAAACTTTTTATTACCAGCGCAGAATAGACCTGTTAGTGTAGAAATCTCACTAGGTGGCAGGACTTTATTCAAATTAATATATTAAACTCAAATAACGTCGATTGTATGCTACTTTGGAGTACTCAGTATCGATACTTTTAAAAATCGGGTACCGACAGTACATTTTGAGAATCGATTTCTGAGTACTTTTGGTATCGATACTGCCCAACACTAACATATTTAGAAAGCTATGATTAAAAATAAAACTATCTAAATTCCCTTGAATACCAGGTTTTTATAAAAGTACTTTTCATTACCAAACATAGGTCATAAACTGCAATATCCAGCACTAGGCGCCAACTGCAAATATGAAGACATGTTCAAATGCGCCCCTTATGCCACCACGCTCGACACTTTTCTCTTTTTCGCTCACTAGAATCCACGCGATAAGAGAATGCACGATAATGGTTAGTTGGTGGGTAAAAACACTGCGACAAACGAGTAGGGCTACACCCCCGCCAAAGCGCTTCTGAGTGAGCGAGTAGCAGTAGTAGAAGTTATTCACATGCACAACACAACACCAAAAAAAAAACGATTTTATCACAACAAATGTACCAAAGAAAAAAAAAATACAAAAACACGACAACAGCCGTCGAGCAGCAATGTTGAATGTTATCGCTGCATATTTTATAACTCTACGCCGATATACAACACATTCAGGCGTATGTATGTAAGTATATGTGTATACATTTATGAATGCATGTACGTATCTACATACATATGTATGAAAAGCACGAACGGATGGTGGGGTGACGAATTTTCTTATTTTCTCACTCTAAAAGTTGAGTAATGCGTTTCAAATACGCTTGAAATATAACTTTTATGAAAAGGAGCACTTTAAAAATTGCTGCTTCATAATTTGTCAAATCGTGCATAACAACGTATGTACATATTTAAATGAGGCAAAGTGTTTACCGTTGCACTTACATTTGACTTCTTTGGCTTGCCTTTTATTCATTTACCTCTTTTTAGCAAATTTTTCAACGAAGTGGTAATTTTTTAAATGTATTTTTGTACAATCATTTTTAAATTTTATCACAGAATTTTTTGCATTAGAGTTCTGTAGATTGCTTGCACATATTTTGATGAAACTCTTTTTCAAACCCAATTTTCGCACTCACAAGCTTATTTTACGCATACAAGCGTTTTTAGCCAAATTTCCTTAAACGGGCCTTTTGCTTATCTAGTAACACAATTTGTGGCGATTTAAACCATTAATAACTCATTTACAAAATTAATAAACATTTCACGTCGGCAGCTGCGTACAATGCGTACCGAAACTTTTTGGCGCCACTTAAAATATGTTATGTTACTCGTCTCACGCTCAATGATTAACTGAAATGACTACAGTGAAATTATTCCAATGCTACACCGATGTACATACATATACGCACACATACGGACGAAATCATTGTCGCAATAAGGAGTGCGCTCTCTGTTCCTCTGAGTGTGCTCTTTGGTGGCAAGCGCTGAGCGAACGGCGAAAGAATGGGAAGTGCGCTGAGTTATAGTCTGTTGGGGTTGGTTATTTTGTTATGCCAACACAGCTGATAGCAGCTGACTAAGGTTGCTGGTTTTTTGGGTCGCGTTTTCTGCACCCACCTGTCCCCCAAAGGGATTGAAGGAACCCCACTGAGGGCGTTTTTGTGGTCAATATGAAAATATGTCTTTGGATTGTACTCGTCTCTAGAATTTTTACGACAAAAGGCCACTATTCCCGTTCCTCATCAACATTCGCGTTCAAGTGCGGCAAATTTCGGTTTGCCTATTCTCTCAGTCTGCTTGCCGCATCTTTAGCTTGCTTGCTTAAACGCAAGCTACTAGCATGTTATCCACTGGGCTACAACTGCAAAAGCTTATTGTGCTTTTTCATTGCTGGGCTTTAAGTTGTGAGCTTATTTAACAAAAAAGATTACTTTTCAGTGATTGCAAGGCGTTCGACTGTCTAACTTTCAAAACCGCCCACCTGCTCGCTGTTGTCGGTATACATTCGCTGGCTCTGTTCATCTGCATGCCTGTTCACTGATACGCTCGCGCGCGAGCACACACTCAGAACTCCACTGACTTTTGCTCCATGTGATTATTTTTATTTTTTCGTTTTTTTCTAAATTTAGTTTCGAAAAAGAAGCAGTTGCAATCGCTCAACATTAAGAGCGAAACAAAAAGAGGGTATGAAAAACTGATAAAACGTTGATAAGCTTACGGCACAGCGCAGTAAGATAAAATCGTCCAAAAGCGAACAGCTGAAATTTTAGTAAAACCCACACATACGAATACAATTGGTCATACGCACGGTTGCCAGTGTTGCCGCGAGCCAATTTTGAAGGGAAGCGAAGCGCTTGAAAAATCGAAGACGATCGAAGTGAACACATTGGGCCATAGGCCCAATTGCTTCCATATAAAGAATATTCGAAAAAAGTTTTACACAAAAAAAATCTCAAAAATCAACGCTAATTCTGAGCACATTATGTTGCTTAAATTGAATGGGCTTTAAAAGTGTATACTCGAGTGTTTTCTAGAAATTCGGATTAAAAAGTTCGAAATATTTATGTCCATTTTTGTTAAGTTGGCGATTGTTAATAAATCTTTTACAAGATTTGCAACTTTCTGGTCTACCCTGTTTTCGTAGTAGTATAGACTATATTTTTGTAAAAGATGAATTGTCAAAAGTCATAAAGAAATAGTGTCCCCAATTATATGGCCATCACTGTACAAATATATATGGGTCATTTCCAAACAAAGTGCTATTTTATGTCCCCCTTTTTAAATTTTTTATGGTGGTAAAAATGAAAAATCTAAAATAGCAGTATACGATCCAAACAATAACCCACCAACAAAGCTGCTTTTTTATTATTGTAAGCCATTTTGTTTTCTTTTTCGAAAGGTATTTCTTTGGTATATTGTACTTAATACATATCAAAATATTTGTCCCCGCTCAGGTTATTCGATAATTAACATGAAAAAAAGTTTAAAGAAAGAAACAATGAAAAAAGAGGCGTAACTGTTTGTGAATGACCACCTTAACTTTTATTGTTTAATTCTATTTTTGGCTGAAAAACTTTATCAGCATAAGAGAGGCTTCCTGTTATAATATTGTCCCTCGGATTTTTCCAGAATGTCACTTTCTTAATTTGGTCGTGATATTAATATTAGTGGTTTTGCCTGCCTAAGTGCATTGCAGTTATGAAGCGCAAGAAGTTATTGATCGCATGACATAAGAGATTACTTAAAAACAAGGCTCCGCTAACAAATAACAAAAATACACAGAAACTGAGGGCAATACCAGAGTCTAATTTTGCTAACCACATGGTTAACAACAAATGTTCACCAACGCAAATAAGGAAGGCAGCGAAACTACTGCATGTAAAGAGCAACGACTAAACGTACTAGAAAATATGGAAATATACAATCTAAAAACCTTCGACGGCAAAATAGTAAACGAACAAACAAATACCGCATCGGATGTTATATTCGAACCCTTAAAATTGATTTAAGAAAAAAAGAAAAATGACAACAAAACAACAGGCATGGACACTCCGAACACACCAAAAAGTACTACCTGGGCAAAAATCACCGACTTTTACATACCACCAGGCAAAAATCATACAGCAACCACAAAACGGATGTCAATATCTAGACACCGAAGATGAACCTATTACTTGCTTCTAAAAAAAGGACACCATGGCTTATCTAATAATTAACCATTGACGAAAATCATAATACCTAAGATAAATGAACATAAATTAAGGACAAAAACTCGAAGCAGAGAGAACGAAAAATTACACTGAAGATGGCAAAACGCCGAAACCGGTTTTTCTGCAAACCAAGCTTGACAAGGAATGCCGGAAATTCGTTCCAGAATAAATTAAAAAAGCAATTATTTTGTGATTTTGAGTCACTTTTCCTTTGCACGATGATAAGTACGGCTAAATATTTCCTAAATGTCACCCAACAAAAAACACTAAAAATAAGTTAATTACCAATGTTTATTTATTGCTTCAGGAGTTTCAATGATTTCCGCGTTTTTATATTTTGGTGAAATAAGACTCTTACAAACAAGTAAGAAAGTCTAAGTTCGGGCGGAGCCGAACATTAAATACCCGGCGCAAGTATTAAATATATGTTTTCCTCCTTTCCGAAAGCTACCGCTACATGATAAGCCGGGATGTATACATTTTAAGTAAATTATCGTNCAAAATTTTGTAATATTCTTATTTTTCGTCTAAAACTCATTGCAAATATCAATTTTGAGTGAATTATCTTCAGTAGTTACTAAAATATCACAGTTTTCGTATTTCTTAAAATTACCGTTATATGGGAGGGAGGCGTGGTTATTGTCCGATTTTAGAAATTTTCGGCCATTTGGTATGCTGTACCAGGACCAACAACTGTGCCAAGTTTGGAAGAAATTGGTGTAGCGGTTACCAAGATATACACATGTGTGGGCGTGGCTACGCCCATTTTCCAAAAATTTATAATATTCATATTTTCCGTCGGAAACTCATTGTAGTATCAATTTTGAGTGAATTATCTTCAGTAGTTACTAAAATATCACAGTTTTCGT